ATTTTTTATTTATTCTTTCATGACTCTATGTTTGTTTTCATTTCTTTATATGATTTCTCATAGCTTATCTCTTGTTCTTATTTACTTAAACAATTATGGAGGATATATATTGGAGGTGGAGGAGGGATCAGTGTGTGGTGGGGGAGGGATGGTTGATGTGGTCACTTCCCCTACACAAGAGTTGCTTGACCTTGTAACAGTGTGTGCCCCAGTGTGTGCCTGTATGACGTAGAGTTGTGGTTTTTTAACCCTTGCCATTCACGATTTCGAAGATTTGCGGTAGGCAGATGGTGGCTAGCTTGCAAGCCTCTCCCGCAGCGCAACGAGTCACCCCACATGTCCACAGCGTCTCCTCTCCCTCTATTCGCACTCAACCATTGCCTATGACGCAGCATCTCGTGTTGTTACTTTCAAAATGTTAGTGTTCCTGTGTGAAAATAGCCCCTAAAAAAATGCCTAGTGTCAGTGCTAGTGATGCTAGTGGAGTGAAACAGAAAAGGCAGTCAGTGATGACCCTGACAAAGAAAGTTTTATTATTAGACAAGTTAAAGGAGGTGACAGGTGCTGCCGCGGCTGAATAAGCAATTCGTGATTAAGTTCAAGTGAGTGCTCCTGCAAGTGCTAAAGTGGCACAGGTTGTTCGCAACAAGAACATAGCAAAAACAGAAAAAGCACTGAACATTTGGATTGAGAACCAGCACCACAAAAATGTTCCAATCAACAGCAACATGATTCATGAGAAGGCTAACAGTCTTTATGCTTATTTTTATGAGTCAACAGGTGGTGAAGGGGCTACTGCAGTGACTGAACCAACTTTTAGTGCCAGTAAAGGTTGGTTCAAAAATTTTAAGAAAAGATTCTCTCTCCATAATGTGAAGTTGACTGGGGAGGCCACATCAGCTGACCACACAGCCACAAATGCATTTCCCTCAACATAAAAGAAAATAAAAGAAGAGAAAGGCAATAGGACAAAGCAAGTATTTAATGCTGATGAATCTGGTCTATACTGGAAGAAAATGCCTGGTAAAACCTACATAAACAAGCAGGAGATGAGTGCCTCTGGGTCCAAGGCAGCCAAGGACAGAGTGATGCTCATTGTCTGTGGCAATGTGGCTGGCCACATGATCAAGCCTGGCTTGCTTAACCGCTCAGCAAACCCGAGGGCTTTAAAGGGAAAAAACAAGAACCTTTTGCCAGTGTTTTGGCAGTCCACCAAACAGACGTGGGTAACTGGGCAAGCATTCCTGGACTGGTTCCATAACAGCTTCATCCTGAAAGTGGAAGATTACCTTGTTTCCAAGAAGATGGAATTCAAGGTGCTATTATTTATAGACAATGCACCAGGCCACCCAGAAAGTTTGCAGTTGAGCCATCCAGGTGGTGTTCCTACCTCATAACACCACTGCTCTTATTCAGCCTCTCGACCAGGGTGTAATATGCACCTTCAGTGAATTATTCAGTGAACTCAAACCAGAGACAGTGAATGGTTGGTGGCGCACCTTATGGCCTGAGTGTGTGAATAATTTCCAGGAATTTCCGTCCATAGTAAAGGATGTGAATGACATTGTGAGTGTTGCACATCAGTTGGGTGGTGAGGGGTTTGTGGACATGGCTGCTGAAGACATGGAAGAGCTGACTGATGGGCATGGAGAGGAACTGACAGAAGAGGATTTGGAAGAGTTGGTAAAAAGTGCTGAGGAAGATGAAGAGGAACACATTATGGAATTACAACAAGAAGGTTGGAGCTTGAACAATATTGGTCGGGTAAAGATTGACCATTGTTGACCACGATCCTTCCATGGAACACAGCCTTAAGATGGTCCGAGGAATCAGCCATGTATTGTTTTCCGAAATGTTTAAAGACCTCAAAGACAAGAGGAAACAACTACCAATCACCATGATTTTCATTCTCCTCCCAGCCACTCACCACCTCCCAGCCACGCACCACCTCCCAGTCACGCACCACCTCCCCAGCCACTCACCACCTCCCAGCCACGCACACCTCCCAGCCACGCACCACCTCCCAGCCATGCACCACCTCCCAGTCACGCACCACCTCCCAGCCACTCACCACCTCCCAGCCATGCACCACCTCCCTGCCACTCACCACCTCCCAGCCACGCACCACCTCCCGGCCACTAACCACCTCCTAGCCAAGCACCACCTCCCAGCCATACACCACCTCCAGGTCACCCACACCACCACCCGCCTCCCGGCCACTCACCACCTCCCGGCCACGCACCACCTCCAGGCCACGCCACCTCCCGGCCACGCCACCTCACCCTGCCACTGCCACTCCACGCACCACCTCCCGCCACCACCACCTCCCGGCCACTCACCACCTCCCAGCCACCCACCACCTCCCGCCACGCACCACCTTCCCTGCCACTCACCACCTCCTGGCCACTCACCACCTCCAGCCATGCACCACCTCCCAGTCACGCACCACCTCCCAGTCACCACCACCTCCCAGCCACTCCACCACCTCCCAGCCATGCACCACCTTCCTGCCACCACCACCTCCCAGCCACGCACCACCTCCAGGTCACCCACTACACACCACCCGCCTCCCGCCACGCACCACCTGCCTCCTGGCCACACCACCCGCCTCACCACCTGCCTCCCGGCCATCCACCACCTGCCCCCCCACCCACCACCCACGGCCACGCACCACCTGCCTCCTGGCCACCCACCACCTGCTTCCGGCCACCCACCACCTGCCTCCGCCATCCACCACCTGCCTCACGCCACGCACCACCTGCCTCCTGGCCACCCACCACCTCCCGGCCACCCACCACCTCACCTCCTGACCACCCACCACCCCTCCCGGCCACCCACCACCTCACGGCCACGCACCACCTGCCTCCTGGCCACCCACCACCTGCTTCCCGGCCACCCACCACCTGCCTCCTGGCCACCCACCACCTCACCACCTGCCTCCCGGCCACGCACCACCTCCCGCCACGCACCACCTCCCGCCACACCACCTCACCAGACCACCTCCCGGCCACGCACCACACCACCTCCCGCCACGCACCCTGCCTCCTGGCCACCCACCACCTCATGGCCACCCACCACCTGCTTACACCCACCACCTGCCTCCCGGCCACCCACCTCCCGGCCACCCACCACCTGCCTCCCACCACCTCACCCACCTCCCAGCCACGCACCATCTCCAGGTCATGCACTACACCACCACCGCCTCCTGGCCACCCACCTCCTGGCCCCTGGCCACCCACCTCCTGGCCACCCACCACCTGCCTCCCGGCCACCCACCACCTCACCCACCTCCCGGCAACCCACCACCAGTCTCCCACCACATGTATGGGAGATGTCAGGTGTAGCCAGGTGTATGCATGGGAGATGCCAGGTGTATGTATAGGAGATGCCAGGTGTAGCCAGGTGTATGTATGGGAGATGCCAGGTGTAGCCAGGTGTAAGTATGGAAGATGCCAGGTGTATGTATGATGGAGATGCCAGGTGTACCAGGTGTAGTATGGAAGATGCCAGGTGTATGTATGGGAGATGCCAGGTGTATGTATGGGAGATGCCAGGTGTATGTATGGGAGATGCCAGGTGTATGTATGGGAGATGCCAGGTGTATGTATGGGAGATGCCAGGTGTATGTATGGGAGATGCCAGGTGTAGCCAGGTGTATGTATGGGAGAAAAACATATTTTGTAGTCTACTATGAAATGGTACGGGCTGAATGATAAACAAATTATATATTCCATTCATTTACCTATGATAACATGAAGGTGGTTGACGGTGTCTGGGAGCCATCACAAGCACAGTTGTTATGAGAGCAGAGGAGCACGAGACGGACAAGTGTTTATCCCGGACTGAGGAAGAGCAAGCGTGCGTGGATCAGCCTCCTGGGACGAGAGACACACCTTGCGGGACGCCACAAAACACGTGTGCTCCCTCTACCAGCCGCGAAAATGACGGCAACTTTAAAACAACCCCTAGACATTCTTGGGTACATCCAGGGTGTCATCCGTGAATAAGAGAGGAGCGTGAAATAAAACTCCGCAAATTATCCAGGCATGATGTTTTCCAAACCTTTACCAACTGATAGCTGCACTCTTTTGACTTTCTCCCCCACACCACTTCCTTTCTGAGAGACTTTCAGCATGATGTCTAAGGACAGTAGTTAGTTAACTGAGCGGTAGACCAAGCGGTGGTAGTGAACAACACACTTGGTGGCAGCAGGACACAGACTGAGTGGATGTAAACAAGCCCCACCCGCCAAGTGGCTCATATGGTGCGGAATTAAACGGAATCATGCTAGATTTAGTGAACTAGTTCACTAAATCGAGCGGAAAAAACAAATTTGATCTAGCAGAAATTTCAATTTAACGGAGAGAGGTGGCTCAAATTAATTCATCAAATTGAGAAAATACTATACTACAGTACAGTACTGTACTAATAACAATAGGAATACAAAAAACACTACAATACACCCGATAATTTGCAGATTATTATTTCACAGTCCTCTATTATTCGTGGATGACACCCTGGATGTACCCAAGAATGTCTGTGGGTAGTTTTAAAGTTGCCGGCATTTTTGCGGCTGGGACAGGGAGCCATTTGTTCTAGAGACAGTAATTTCCTTTACCTGTATTGTATATGTGTGTGTGTGTGTGTGTGTGTGTGTAGACACACACATACAAATAAATAATAATGGGAAAATCCTCTCACAAATAATCAGAAACAAATTTATTAAAAATGTGACAGTCCACTCCCAAGTCTACTCCATCCTTAGTTATTAACACACACACATATAGTGCATATACAATACAGGTAAACTAAATAATTGTCCTTAGGACAAACACAAAGGGAATATACATTTCTTTACACACGAGTAAAGATGTAGCCCCCAGCAAATGTTATTCACGAACTTGGCAATTCGCAGCCATTTTGAGAACCTAACACCCGGGAATTTGAAGGACCTACTGTACTACTACTAATAATACCAACAACAACAACAAAGTTCTCACCTAGATGATGTAGATCTTTTTCCTGCGCTGTCAGGAAGTCCAAAGAATATCTGATGGACTTAGCTAAGCAGATACCAATGTCAAAAGTGTCCACAATGGGCTGCCGTAAGTACTCGTTGAGCGCCTGCTCTCGAAGGTGACACAGGTCGACCCCGTGGAAACAACTCTGATACCTGTTATGGAGGGATGTTTTAATACCACAAGTAAGATACAAGTTTATATCACACACACAAACTAATCAATGGTTAAGTTAATACTATAGATAAACACTGTACAGTACTGGTCATAGTTTAATCAGCTTAATTAATCTTATATGACAACTGTTGTTTGAGGCCTCCACAGCAGATCCTCTACAGTACTAGACTGTCACATCACCTTGGGCTGACCTGGTCTGGTCTAGTGGTGCGTGTAGGTAATGCACTACACACATCACACGTCTTCTCCAATTTCTTTTTTAATTTAGGTTTTTTGAAGACTTTTTAAAACTCCACAAGGGCCCTCGACAACGCTTCTCTGTCAGTTCATCAGTACAGTACAGGTAAACCTTGATAAACAATGTCCTGTTCACCAATATTCGGCTTTAATAATGGTCATGAATTAACACCATCTCTCTATACATGATCAAAATAATTCCCTTAAACAAGAACGATCTATATCCATTTTATGATTTTTTTTCACCTCTTGTGCAAATTGTGGGGTGTCACTACTCAAATTACCCCTACGCCCCAGGCTAGGGTGCCACTGGCTGTATCCCCCACGCGAGGTAAATCAAGAAAAATAAAAACTTTTCCAAAAATAATTTTTAACCTTTTTAAATGATAAAACAATCATAAAAAAGTAAGAAACCCTATATATTGACCCTCTAGAAACTTCCCTGTGGCCACAGTGGGGAGGGAGATAAAGGGACGGTGTTGTTTTGACGGCCAGCACTCATGGTCACTGTAGTGATGGGTTGTCAGACCACAGCTTACATCTCAGAAACAGTCCAGACTTGACCCGACATTAGGGGGGGTCAAGTGTAGGGGGGTAGGGTACGATTCAGCGCCGCCAATTCAGCGCCGTTGTTTCAGCGCCGCCGTTTCAGCGCCAGCCCATTTCAACGCCAGACTATTCAGCGCCGAGACCTTTCAGCGCCTGTGCGTTCCGTTCAACATCTCTGTGGGAAACAATTGTTGTCTTCTCCCAGTTCCTCTCCGGTATGGACGACCAACCTAACCTAACCTAACCTAACCTAACCACGTTAATTAAAGACAGATAGCTTCTGAGTTGAACGGAACGCACAGGCGCTGAAAGGTCTCGGCGCTGAATAGTCTGGCGTTGAAATGGGCTGGCGCTGAAACGGCGGCGCTGAAACGGAGGCGCTGAATTGGCGGCGCTGAATTGGGCCATCCCCAGTGTAGGGTAACCCTCGCAACCACTCAAGGAGTTACAAATCAACTGGCTCCCCTCCCATGTCACACGGCCCCAACAAACATGTAAGAAGGCACCGGCCGATTCTCTCCCAATATACACAATAACCTACACCGCAGAAGAAGTCCAGACCTGACCTCACATTAGCCAGGTCAAATGTAACCCTCGAGCCCAAGTCAAGGGGCCACAAATCAACCAGGGCCTCTCATGTCACACGGCCCCATCTGAAGATTTGTCCAGAATATACAACTTATAGTCTCTGAAAAAGTCCAGACCTGACCCTACATTAGCGAGGGCAAATGTAAGGAGACCCTTCGCCGCCCCCCCGATCAGCTCAACCTGACGGCTCGCCTCCCAATATATAGGACGTCCTAGTCCTCCCTCTGCCCAGAGAGAGACAGAGAGAGAGTGTGTCTTGTAACCAAGAAGGGCCAGCTACCACGTCCCCAGTCCCGCTCGAGAGAAGCCCGCCACTAAGTGTAACGAAGTCTCAGCCGGGTCCATCGACAGAGTGCTGTCAACTCAACGTGTAACAGTAAGTGCTGGCTGTGTAGACGGTAGAAGTGCGGTGATCCCGAACCTCCCCAACGATTGACTTAGTGAAGTGCCCATTCTAATTGTGAGGTTAGGTTATACGAGAATACCAGAGTCTATCATAAATTGTGTACGAACCCCCCCCCATTAATCCCCCCTATTGAACTAGTAAAATAAAGCTGTAACACGCATTGGTGTTTTATATACTACACTTGTACTGTGCCTGTGTTAATATCAGTGTTGACATCACACCCTCGAGACACGCTACCATTTCCTCTCGCTATAATATTCTACTACTATAACCTCCTAACTTACCTCTTCATGTGAGATTTTGTCTCATTACATCACTTACACACTTAGCGGCCATTTTCTGATTGCCTTTGTGTCCGGGATGGCCAGTAATGCATATATTTACTGATCATAAGACTTATTTCCTATAAATAATTAATTTAGAATATTTTATTTGCATTATTTTTCATAAAAAGTGTTCAGCAACACAGACAGTTGGTCGCCAGGCTGTCTGGCTGTCTTTGTGTTTGGTATAACACGTAATACATAAAATAATAATAATTCCATAAATAAATACATTTATAACAATCATAGAATTATTTTACAGTAATACTACACTACAATACAACTGCAGAACTCCAGTAATATCTCCGTTAGCTGGAATCTCTGAAACCAGGAATTCTCCGATAGCTGGAATTGAAATTAGCTCGGAAAAGCATTCCCAAAGCCGGAATTGAAAATATCCGGCTTTGGTAACAAATTTTCCGAGGTCGAAAATCGAGAGCATTTTCTGAAAATGTCTTGAATAAAGACGAAAGCTCAAATATTTTGGGGAGGGACCAGACCTAACACAATGTCAGGTGGAGGTAGGGTGGGGGATTAGTGGTCTCATATTACTGACCTTCTGATGGAATGTCAGGTCACCCTTCCTTGGGTAGGGGATTAGTAGGTCTCATGACCTGATGATGTCTTGAATAAACACGAAACCTAAAGTATTTTAGAGAGATTGTGATAAGTATAAGTATAAATGAGCAAAGTTGTATCCCTTCAACATTACATTACATGACATTTTAAAATATGGAGTGAGAAGCAGAAAAGTGTGGGTCATTAGAGAGATGGAGTGGTAAGTAGTGGTAACATGCACCAGTGTTGCCAAGTGATAAGCTCCTTAACACTGATCTTTTAATTTACTTCCATGCAATCACACAACGAGACCCTCACTGGATGCTTGTTGTCTTAATTCCCATGTGTGTGTGTGTGTGTGTGTGTGTGTGTGTGTGTGTGTGTGTAAGATAAATGACACTGTTTCCATGAGTGCATACGTACATACGTGTGCCTCCCGCACAGTCTCACTTATTTCTCTACCAATTCATTGATCACTTCTATTGTACAGAACATTAATTAAAAGATACATACAGTATTTTTTACATTAATTTTACTACTGTACATCTACAACCATCGTTAGTCAAGGCTTTAATGTACACAAAATCAATACAATAAGCTCTAATACCCACTCATTTCATCCAAAATACTATTGCATAATTGCTTTGGTAAAATCCCTAAATGGCAACTGGAGGCTGATGGGAATCAGTCTTGTTCATATGGTTGATGATGATGATGATGGGAATTAGAATGGGGGTGGAGGAGAAGGGAGAAGAGAAGGCATTGGGGTGGAAGAGAAGTCACCCCATGCCACCATTTCACCCATAAAATTTTAGTTCACTTGGTGTAATTCAAGATTATTTTCTTTAAATCAACACTGCACTGCGCTATATATTATCAATATGTAAAATATATTTCAAAATGACCAATAATTTGACTGGAAACACAGAAAAAAGCGTCTATGTTGAAGAGTCTCAAACAAGATGTTCCTTCCTCTGAACTGGTAAACAAACTGACACCAAGCCTGGTGTGTTGAGTGGCTGTTTGGCACTCAAAAAACTAGTTTCCTGTATTGTACTTCAATTATGTTCAATAATTGTTAAAATGACTCAAAAATTTAATATAAAACTTTTTAAATTATTGAATAGTACAACCTTCTTGATATTTATTAAAATGGTAAGGAATTGAAGCCCTAAAACCGATTACTGTACTGGCGGATTAATACTACAGCTGGTGGGCAGCCAAATGCAGGCGAAAACATGATGGGAAAAATTCATAAGGAATTCATTAACAGAGAGTTTGCTCGTTAACCGAAGTGAAAAATCTTATGGAAGGTAATTCGTTAACCGAGGAGCTCGTTAACTGAGAGATCACTGTACGTACGTATACAGTAGTTATGAAAAGAATACAAATAATATTAATGATGGGCCATCCAACTTTTTGCAATTTACATATCAATTTCTTCTAATTTCCATTCATTTTCATTAATGTGTTTTATAAATATTGAGAAAAGGGACCGAGCTATTAATACGTACTGATACACACACCTCCATCATTTATTATTACTGTATATAAACTCGTATGATCAGCCACTTATGGTGTGTTTTATCATTGATAATATAAAATATTAAATACTGTACTACGTACTATAACATACAAGTAATTAGAAAAATGACGAAATATTGCGTCAAGCTATCGAGTCCCGAGTCCTGTGTGTGTGGGTGGGAGGATGCTGAGACGCTCGAGGTACATGTAACTTAGGTCGTAGACTTGCACGCAATGATTGGCTAATGCTGTCATATGACCTCTTGGGACATTTGTAATTGGCTGATGCACCTTGCAGATGATCCCACCCCCCCCTCACCCAAGGTTAGCCTCAGGGCAGGCTTAGTGCATACCATAATTCTTTGTCACCAGTCCCCCTACAAGGTTCATCTGTTGCTCACTTCTGTTTTTTGTTCAGTTTGTTGTACAGTACTGGACAATTTCTGTATATAGGACACAATCAACCTACAACACAGAGTTTAAGCTGTATTAAGATGTCAACAGAACCAAAATGAACCTTAATACAGTACAGCACTGGAATTTGGTGACAGCACGGGCCAGGAGGCAAGTTGTCCTCCCTCTACCACCCGTCACCTCCCCCAGTCTGCACACCCAAATATACTTTTGTACAGTATCTTAATACTGTTCAGTATAATTCATAATCTATTCCTACAATTCATGAGTCGGTAATTTATGAGGATGTTCATTATACAAACTATATAATGTTTTCTTTCATTTAAAATTCAGTAAGGAGTAAGAAGGTGTGGAGGGAAGGGGGGGGGAACTGACCGCA